GTAGATCAAAAGAAAATATTCTAAACCTGTGGCCTTCACTCATGGAAAAGACATTTCCTTCTGGAAACTAAATTCTCAGATCCTGGTTCAAACTTTAGCAGGGACAGGAGACATGGTTGTCAGGTCAAATGTCTGCCATACAAGACCCTCTGAGTTCAGCCCTTAAAGTCCATGTAAAGATAGAAGAATGGACTCTACAAAGTTGTACTCTGACCTCCACATACACCCCCACACCTACCCACACATCACACACACACACACACACACACACACACACACACACACACAGCCCTCCCCCCTCTCCTCTAAGCATATAGGTCTGAATACTAAATACACAGATTTGGTGATACTCTCCCCTTCTGCTTTCACAAATATAAAAAAGGGGGTATGTGAGTGAAGGGCAAACAGAAACAAACCACTTGCTGACTTGAGATCTCATGAGGGAAAACGCTCCCTGAATCTGGGAGTTGGGTTTCTGCCCAACTTGCTGGACCCAGATGAGCCAGAAACACAGTCTGAACCCTGGACTTCTGTTAGAGACATAGAGATGAAATAGGAGGAGGAGATCAGAACCTCCATGGATACAAACAGCTCTATCCAGACCTCAATCACATCCCATAGGTTGCCAAGAAATCCTGTACTACCCTCCTAGCCATTAAGGGAAAAGGACTTGCCAAAGAGAAGAACCATGGGTTTCTGTTTTGTTTTTAGTAAAAAGTTCAGGTTATTAAAAATAAAAAGGGGGTTTTATCTCTTTTTAATTAATTAGTTTAGAGACAGGGTTACATTATGTAGCTCTGGTCTGGAACTCACAGAGATCTATCTGCCTCTACCTCCACGGTGCTGGGATTAAAGGTGTGTACTTCCACACGTGGCAAAAAAAAGTGATTAAAAAAATGAACATATTATTCTTTCCTGTCACACTCCTACTCAACTACCCAACAGGCTATCAAGGAATTTAAGTTTAAATATTTCCAAAGGCAAAGCAAATCTAAGTTCAAGTATTGGCAGTGAACTTAGAGGGTGTGAGATCCTGTGAAGGCTCACTTTCCTTCTTGGGAAGAGAGGAAAGAGGAGGGCATGTAGGTTAATAGGGACTGCAGTTGAACTGATGGAGCTTAATTCAAAGTCACAAAGGAGCAACTGAAATCATTCTGCTCAGACACTGTCAGTAACAGAAGACTCAACACAAGAGCATGGAGACTACATCTAACCCTACTTTTGCCTAATCCAGCCTGTGATCTTGAACAAGTCCTTTCTGGACTTGGTCTCAACTGTTAAATGTAAGGTACTGAAGTAGAGCAATGGATTGTAAACTCTTTAAAGGCCAGGAGCATAAATAAACTCAGATAAATTCAAAACTGCACACCGAGACCAAATGTGGAGAGGCATGCCTTTAATCTGAATACTTGGGAAAAACAAGATGATCATGAATTCAAGTTCAGTCTCAGTTACTTAGCAAATTCAAGGCAAGCTCAGGATACCTGAGACCCTGTCTCAAAAAACAAATGTAAACAGCTGGGGTAGTGGTGCACGCCTTTAATCCCAGCACTCAGGAGGCAGGGGCAGGTGGATCTCTGTGACTTCAAAGCCAGCTTAGTCTACAGAGTGAGTTCTAGGACAGTCAAAGCTACATAGTGAGACTGTCTTGAAAACAAACAAGCAAAACAAAAGAACAGCAACAACAAAACACAAATAAAATAAAGCAAAACCCTGCAAATCGAACACATACATTTATTTATACTTTCTCTGGAAACATCATTAAATTATTATTATTATTTATTTATTTTGTTTTTTTGAGACAGGGTTTCTCTGAATTGTTTTGGAGGCTGTCCTGGAACTCGCTCGGTAGATCAGGCTTGGTCTTGAACTCAGAGATCAACCTGCCTCTGCCTCCCGAGTGCTGGGATTAAAGGCGTGCGCCACCACCGCCCGGCTCATTAAATTATTATTAATGAATCAGATGCAACAGTATGCACCTATAGGTCCAGTTACTTAGGAAACAAACGCAAGATGACTTGAGCACAAGAGTTTTGGGTCAGCTTGCTCAACACATTGAGATCTTATCTCTTTAAACATTATTATTAAGGGCTGGAGAGATGGCTCTGTGGTTTTGAGCACTGGCTGCTCTTCCAAAGGACTCAGGTTTGATTCCCAGCACCCACACAGCAGCTCACAATCATTTGTTATTATATTTCTACGAGATCCAATGTCCTCTTTGGCCTCTAAGGGCACCAGGCACACAAGAGATATATATCTGTACATGAAAAAAAATCCACATACATAAAACAAACAAATAAAAATATATTAATACACACATGTATAAATGAGGCAGACATGTTGGTGTATACTTGTAATCCCAGCATTCAGTATTCAGCATTCAGGAAGGGGAGGTATGAGACAGAAGGTTAAAAGCCAGCTTGGGTTACTTAGTGACATCCTATCTAAAACACACACACACACACACACACACAACAAACAAACAATGAATCACAAATACCTACTATTCACTGAGCATTCATTATATGAAGTTTGAAGTTCATGAAGTAACTGAATCTTTAGCATTCAGGTAGGTGATGCTGTCCATTTACAGAGAAATAAACTGACTCCCTAGCATTAAGGAATTTAAGTTTTGTCAGCCACGAAGTGACAGAACCAGGATTCAGATCAGTGCAGAGTCTGTGCCACAACTGCATCTCAGATCATCAAGAACAGCAAAGTTCCCAAGGAAAACACAGCACAGTGAGAGATGACAAACATCAACATAAGATTACAAGATGAAAATCAGACAAGCCGGTGCCTGACCCGATGGAAAATTCTGAGCAATGCAGAGGTCAAGCAACTGCAGAACAGTCTCCAACTCCAAGCACTAGAAACCCCAGTCTCCTCTGAAGGTGTGTCATGAGGAGGGGCCCAAAACAGGCAGTACTGGTCCCCTCTACTGGGCAGGCAGCTGCTCTGCCACTGTCCTAATAAAAAACACCTGAGCAGGATGAACTCGTGACTCCAGACTTGGGTAACTAGGGCATCCCTGAATACAAAGAAGATGTATTGATTCTGCACATACTCTGAAAGGACAAGTCCTTTATTCTATAGCTTGGCTCTTGGAATGTAGTACTAGATGATAGCATTGCTGGTGAACTTGACAGGGCCCATGCCATACCTATGAATCAGAAATTCTAGGGTGAGCTCTAATGAACAACAGGGTCACCTGACGAAGTTTGAGAACCATTGCCCTAATGGGGGGCAACTAGTTACTAAATCATCACGTGCCAAAAAGCCTCTAACCAGTTCTTCAGCGCCTGCCTAACTGAAACACAGTCAGGACTCGCCAGAAGTTTGAGGAAAGACTCAACTAAGAGAACAGCCCTTGTTGTGAGTAGTGGAATGTAGGCCTTTCTATGGCTCCCAGAACCATCGAGCTCTCCTGAGGCTTTAGAGAAGAGTCTATAGTCACGTCTAGTTCTAATCTATGCTGCTGCTGTGGCTGCTGCTGCCTCCTGAGTGCACGCACGGTATACTTGTGGAGGACAGAAGGCAATTTCCAGGCGTCATTTCTATCCCTCCACTATATGGGTCACAGGGATTGAACTCAGGTCATCGGGCTTGGCAGCAAGTGCCCTTACCTGATCAACCTACTGCCAGTCCAAATCTTAACACAAAACTCCTTTCTTATTACTGCTTTTACTGGTCCCACTCATCTCAAATGTTACTGCCACAATTAAGTCACTCTTCAGCTTCCAAATCTCTAGTGGCCTTGCCATCTTCTGCATCCTTTAGTCCATCTTATTTTTCTTAATCCTCCTGGTTTCCCTGTCTTACCTGGGGGGAGATCCTGCCCCTTCCTAGGCCAGTTCAGTATTCTGATAGAAAACCATTTCTTTCAGGATTGATGAAAAAGGTATGGCAGGTGTTATACAAAGAGTACCAAATATCTCATTCAATCCTCACTAATAGTGAGATTTAAGAGTGAGCTTTATTCTCACATTTGGAAAATTTAAGCTTAGAAAGATTAAGTAACTTGCTCAAGGTTACACCTAGTATTTTCATGCAAATATTTCTGTCTCCAAAGCCACTCTCAGATGGTTTTGCTTTTCAACGTGCCAAACTATTAACAACCATCCTAGCTATCAGTCTGACTCTAATATGTGGAGAAGTAAAGTTTCCTAAACTAAGTAGAAAATAAAAGCTAAAAGGTGTTTGTGTCTTTCTGCTGTTTTGAAACAGGAAGAGGGAGTGTTAGGCACACACTCCCTCCAGGCAAAGAACAGCAGGAAAAACCACAGGCAAGCATCATCTCCCCACCTGGAGGGCATCCACCTGGCTCAGCAGTGTAGTCAAGGGGCAGCCCAGCTTGATCCGAAGCACACCAGACCAGAATGCTGGTAGGGAACAGGTGGTGAATATATCCCTCTCCCCAAGCAGCCCATTAGCCTGGCCTCCAGGACCTTTTGGCGGTGACTGTGGGCTGTTTTCTAGTGTGGGGCAGAGCAGTCCACATCAAAAGATCTCCAGATCCGATTCTAAAAGCGCCAAGGGCAGGCAATGACTCCCGAGGAGAAGGCTTACTAGCCTCTACAACAGCACAGCCAACTTCAAGGAGCACAAAGGGATGACTTTCTGACAAGGTAGCATGGTTTAGTGGTTCCCATCGGAATGTGGAGTCGGCCACCGCCCCTTCCTCCATAGACCGGCTGCAAGAACATTTTCTCTTGTCTGTGACAGAAAAGGAGGCGGATACCCCAATGTCTCCTTTCCTCAGGGCGTCAGCGGCACAACTCTCAGTCTTTCCTTCCAATGCCTGAACGGCTGCCCCTTTTCCTCTCCCAACTTGGCCTCAATCCCTCTCTGCGCTTGGCACCGCTCTCTGTCCTACAGTGTTCCCCTGTAACCTCTCTCCGCCCTCAGTCCGCTGGTCCTCTCTTGCCCTGTCCACCACCCCTCTTTTCTTCCCGCTCGGTCCCTTTCCCCTCAGCCAGCCACCGCCCAGACCACGGTACCTTGAGCGTCACGTCGCACAGCTTGCCCTGCCGCCGGATCTCCTCCATGACGCCGTAGCCACGACTAGGCAACTCCGACACGGAGAAATGCACCAAGTCCTCCAGCTCCTCCGCGCCGTCCTCCACCATCTTCCCCGGCCGCCGCAACTGCGCAGGCCTGGCCGGCAGGCTTCCCACTAACCAGGGCGGGGCAAGGGAGCACGCCGACGGCAGCTCGGAGCGCGAAGCAGAAATCCCACGACCCTGCGCGGCCGCCGTACTCCCAAATTCCTGCGCACCGGAAGTCTCCATGCCTCTCTTCCTGGTTCATACTTAGCCTTCTTTTCCCGCAACCTAAACCCCAGTTTCGCATACACAGGTGCTCCAAGCCTTTCAGGTTAGTTGATTCCATCTAGGTCTTCTTTGTTCAGCCCCGACTTTACCTGTATCCTTAACGGAGGAATGTGGACTTCGATTCCGCCATCGCTTTGCACCACTTCCGGAGTCCCTGGAAGCTTCCCGTTGCCATGGCGACTGTGTACACAGCCGGTCGTCTGACTGTCGGGTTTGTTCCTTCGAGTCGCTGCAGTTGTAGCGGTCGCTGTATCCGAGTGCCGCTGCCTCGCGAGGTGAGCAGTAACCACTCGCCGGTGGGGTTAGGTAAAGAGAAACCTGGTGGGGATATCCGTCCTGGCTGGGGCAGTGGCTGGCTTCCGAACCCCTCTTAGCGCCCTTTTCTGTAAAACCCGAGGCACCCCGAGAGAGCGCGTTATCTTGAGCCCCTTCAAGCCTGATCGCGGCTTAGGGGAGCGTGGAGTTTCTGATCTAATGTTCACTAGTCCCACGAGTCTCCACCGGGGTCCCACGACTCGCCTTAGACAAAGAGGGCGCGGGGTTGAGTGACAGGGGTCATTCGGACGCTTCACTCCTCAGTTTTCGAACTGGAGAGACCTTCGGCATCATCGCTTCGAGCCACTCGAGCTGCAGAGGAGGAAAACCCTCCAGAGGGGCACGGGAATGGGACCGAGGCCGCCTGCCACACACACATTAGAAAAGGATTCCATACACAGGGTGAGAAACAAGAGAGAGGCTGGTTTTGCCTGGATGTCAATTTTGGGTTCATCTCACGGTGTGATACAGTAGGTGTTGTGGGTTTAGACGCTGCTTTTTCTTGGGCAGTCTCTGTCCCTGATCCAGGTAAGAGCACGGCAGATAGGGACCGCTAGTGCCTATCAATCATCCCATCAAATGTAAAGTCTTCATGGGTCATGTATATTATGCTCCTTCCCAGGCCCAAAACAAATGAAGGAACCCTGAATCTCTCAGCGCAGAGGTCTCATTTTATCACACCGAAAGTATCCAAGGATTTTGTTCAAATGACGAGGGGGGGCGGGGCCTTCCGAGCGATGTCCTGAGGGAAAGAAAGGAACACTACCTAATGGGGAGGGCGTGTTGAGAGACTGAATGTGGTGGCTTCTTGTACCTGGAAATCAAGTGTCCTCTTAAAAAGCTTGCAAGTTCAGGGGTTAGAGGTAGCGTGGGAGAGGAGTGACATCGTATACCTTGGAACTTTCTCAGTAGTGACGGAAGATGGACTCACCTATGGAGATTCAGACACCCTCAGACTTCCAGCCATGAGTATCACCAACAACCACCATTCCTTGAGCACCTGCTGTGTGCTGGGCGCTGTGCTGAACCTTGTGGGGGGAATCACAAGAGACAAAAGACACAGTCCTTGTCCTCAAGCAGCTTGTAATTTCATTTGGGAGCTGAAGCCCACATAAATGAAGCGACATAAGAACGGTAACAATCGGTATTTCAGTAAGTGCAGATGGCGTGTGGCGTTGATGTGCTATTGAGTAGTCGGCTCGTGGGGGGAGTGCAGGTCGTTGGAAAGGCTCCTTGCAGGTTGTGGGACTCCAGGAATGTTTGGTTGTGTGAGCATCAGGAGAGCTTCGGGGCTGCATGTGCTTGTGCTTGTTGGAAAAGGAGGAAAGCTCTGGAAAATTCTTTGAGCTGTCCTGTGAACTTGTTTCCAGAACTCTCTGGATTCTTTGTTATCCCTCCCAGAGGTGATACCCAATGGCATTGGAATCTTCCTGGGCAGGAAGCTGGGCTCTTGAGGTTTGTGTTGGGGAGGGTTTCCCAGAGCTGTAGAAATTAAGTAAAAACCACAGCTCTCATTTGGAGGTGCTGTCCCAACACTGGGGAATCTAAGGCAAGAGGATTGAGCGTTCAAGGCCAGCCTAGGTGACACTGTGATACACTATCTCAGGGAAAACATTATCTAAAACCACAAACAACAAGTCACTTCTCACTGCTCTCAGTTTCTAAGTAATATAAATCAAAGTGAAGTTGGAAATGAAATCTTCCCTTTGGGGTTCATGCTAGAGCTGTGTGTAGAGCTCAGTTTTGCAGGCAAAAATGTTCAACCAAGCTACGTTCTTTTCTTACCCAAATATTTTCCAGGTTAATTTTCTAAAAACCAAAAAAAAAAAAAACCTCTAAAAGATCCCCCAGTGCTAGGAAAGGACTTCCATGAAACAGGTACCCTGACGATGTAGGAAGTGCTCACACTGTAATAGGCAAATTTGGGAGTGTTGTGTTTGCTTACTCGATGTGACCCTTGCAGGCCACATGATGGGTGATGCTTTCATTTTATCCACATCATCAAAACTGGAAGCTAGAATAAGTAGCACTTGTTTCTGTAGGGTACATAACACCATGGTGATGTTGGCTAATGTAACTGGAAGAGGAAATGATCCCAAGTTGTGTCTAGAAATGTGAAAGCCATTAATAATTTTAAAATCTAAAATAATTTTTGTTAGGTAGCATATATTAGAAAAGTACATGTAAAATGTTACTATTACTTATTTGATATGCTTTTAATATTTTAGTTTAGTTTATTAAGTGTGTGTGTGTTTGTTTGTGTGCGTGCGCACGTCCATATGTGCCCCAGAACGTGTGTGGAGGTCAGAGGATAGCTTGGAGGAACTGGGTCCTTCTTCCACTGTGCAGGGATCAAGCTCAGGTGTCTCTACCCATGCCATCTTGTTGAGCCTTTGTGCCCTTTTCATGAGTCTGTTTGACCCAGGGTCTCACTATGTAGCATTGGCTGTAGACCAAGTTGGTCACAAACTCATAGATCCACCTGCTGGATCCAAGTGCATTCGCCTCCACCGCCCAGCCCCTTATATGATTTTTATGAATATTAGGAGAGGTTCTGTTTCACACGAGAAAGTTTTCCTGTAAAGGTTTTTTTTTTAAATCCTTAAGCATCCCTTCAGTTTGTTAGAAGACTGAATCATCTTCCTTTGTCTGACACGTCTCTAACTTCGTAAATTCAGCCAATTCTTTTGCTGATTGATGCTTGTTTTTCCTTTCCCCTTCTCTATCTTCTTCTCTGCTCCTCCTCTGTCTCCTCCCTCAATAAAAATTCAGGTTATTTTGGGGGAAGATGCTTTATTCCTTCTTGAACTGGCCCAACCCTGATGGGGCAATTAAAGGGGAAGTGTACAATGCAGCCTACATCCTGCTGTGTGGAACTTTATTGTATTTAAATTTTGTTTTGTACGTTGTACAATAGTAGTTCCAAATGGTATTTTTTTTTAGATAAGTCATTGTTTATCCCACACTGGCCTTGAACTCACTATGCCACTGAGTATGACCTTGAACTTCTGATCTTCATGCCTCCACAAGTGCTGGCATTTTAGGCAGGCACCTGATTCTTAGGAAGGGCCCATCTTAGAGCTGTGAGATGTCTCACTGGGTAAAGTCCTTGTCGCTTCAAGTGTGAAGACCGGAGTTTGGATTCCTAGCTCCCACATAAAAGCTGCTCATGTTGGAGCCGAAGGACATGTGCATCTTGTGGGCTTTCTGGCCAGCAAGTATAACCAAAGTGGTGAGCTCCGGGTTCAGTGACAGACCCTGCCTCAAAATATAAGGAGGAGATCAATAGTACAGACATCCCGTTTCTACCTCTAACTCTACCACACACTCACAGGTGAGTGTGCACATGTACATACCCAAAATGCCTCAGTTTAAAACTCTACTATGCCAATTTGCCTAATAGCAATTATTTAGTGATTTTCATAGGCTTTTCTTGTGTTTCTTTAGTGTGATTTAGCTAGATTTAACAGAATTAATGATTATTGCAAGTAGGTTTTGCTTCTCTTTTCTTAGAGCACCAAAGATTTTGTGTCAGTATTTAGTCTTCTATCATCAGTATATCATGAGACATTTGAAAAAGTGATCAAGTGTTCCTTCCCCCTTAAAGTCATAAAAATGAATTGGGTATCACAGTATTCATCTGTAATACAGCACTTGGGAAGTAAAGACAGGAGGATCAGGAGTTAAAGGCCATCCTTGGGCCAGTGAGATGACTAATAAGTAAAGGATGTTACTTGCCTGACAAGATGGGTGACTGAGTTTCATCCTTGGAACCCATGTAAAAGTGGAAGGAGAGGACTGACCCCACAAATGTGTATTCTGATTTCCACACAACGAATTAACTTTAATTTAAAGTTTAATTTGAAAAATAAATAAATAAAATGTAAAAGGCCAGACTGGGATACATGAGTCCTAGTCTCAAGACAAAACAAAATTAGTTGAACGTAGTCCTATTTAATCACTTATTTGCTTATCCACTCTCTGGATTAAGTGCACCAGTACCATTGGTAACATGTCTTTCAAGGAGCATTTTGACTTTACTTGACCTTGAGTTTCTGGGACCTCAAGATCTCTTCTGTTATGAGACAACTCTTCATAGTTAGAAAAGGTTTTTTTTAACTAAGCTTGCCTCCCTATCACTTCTATTCTTTTACAAGTGTTCATCCCACAAAGATACATCATATATATATATATATATATGTATATATATATGTATATATATATATTTGTCTATAGACGGATTTCCTGTTCTGCCTGTGGTCCCACAGCTGCTTTGCCCCAAATAAACACAAAGACTTATATTAATTATAAACTGGCCAATGGCTTAGGCTTCTTACTGGCTAGCTTGCTCTTAATTATTAACCCATTTCTATTAAACTATGTATTGCAATGAGGCTGTGGCTTACCTGTAATCCAACATGTTATTCCTTCGGCAGCTACATGGTGTCTCCCTCTCCACCTCTCCCTGCATCCTTTCCCCAGAATTCTCCTTGTCTGGTAGCCCCTCCTGTGCTTCCTTCCTGGATACTGGTCAATCAGTGTTTCTTAAGAGAAACATATATACAAAAGGACAGCATTTGTCTTCAGTCACTATACTGTAACAAATTACACATGCATGCACACATGTACATATGTATGTATGT